AGTTTGTTTTGAATGTTAAAAATGAATTATATAGCATTTTTGGTTTGCGGTACTCAAATGCAGTGCAGTTCCACTTTAAAGTGTTACTAAGCCCACAACAGTAAAATCAGTATCTGTATGCAGTAAAGCATACTTGTTATACTCGCTGTGGAACCTAAGGGGGTTAACCCTCCACATTGTGTAAAAAGGCTGATCCTGTCTTCTCTGGTCCTCCCCTTCTACTGTCCCTAATCCATCTGCTGATAGTACAGAGCTCTAGGAGTCACTCTGCACATGCTCAGTTTTGTGTAGAGTTGTTTTTTTTTCCCCTTTTTGCATGTGATCAGCACTGTCCAGACAGAGGGTCAGGGGTTATGCAGCCTCATAGAACAGTCAGAGAAGAATGAAAACTTCTCCGAAAAACTTTAACCAGTGCTCTGCTAGACACTGATAGAAGTCACAAGACCGGTATATATTGCGGATGAGAAAAAGGTATTTAGCAGTTTATATTTGACATTGTTATTTTGGTTAAGAAAACAAAAAAAAAACAAAAACAAAGGTTTAATGTAGCTTTAAGGTACAATCCAATATAAGCTTACTTGATTAAACTCCTTTCATGTTGTGAGTTCTGCCTATCTGCTGGCCAACTCTTTCCACAACTTCCTGGATTACCTGCATGCTCTGCAGCTTCTCCTCCTTCTACCTTATCTACCAGTAGTGATTCCTGTACTGACTCTGCCTCCTGAATCTCCTCCTCTGAACACCTCTGCAGTTCAAAAGGCAGGTTCTATGAAATATGTGACACAGCTTTGCTTGCTCACAGGGCATAGTGAATGTCACAGAATTCAAGGAAATAAATGTGTGGGGACCTTCACTAAGTAAATTTTCAATCTTGATTCAGTATAGGAGTAGACTACAAATAATGGAAAGTCAATGTGTAATTAAATTATATATATGCTTTATGTTTACTTTAATTGGTATTAAACTCAAAACAAAACATTTTATATTGCAGCTTACCAATTCTTAGATGTGGTGGCTGCAGTCTTTTTCTAGGTTTATTCTTAGATGTGGTGGCTGCATTCTTTTGGCGACCAGGATTTAGTTTATAAGATACTAAAAGAAAAATGGTTCAGTCTGCTTAACCTCTTGCCTACCGGGCTCTTTTCCCCCCTTCCTGCCCACACCAATTTTCAGCTTTCGGCGCTCTCATACTTTCGAATGACAATTGCGCGATCATGCAACACTGTACCCAGTTTTGTAAATAAGTAATTTTTGTCCTTCATGGATAGGCTGCACTGATTGGCACTGTTAAGGGGGCACTGATGAGCACTGTTGAGAGGGCACTGTTAGGCAGCATTAATGGGCACTCTTAGGAGACATGATGGGTGGCACTGATTCAACTGATGGGCACTGATAGCCAGCACAGATGAGCATTATTGGCCACACTGATGGGGCTACACTGATCACCAGGACACTGATTGTCAGTGCCCTGATGATCACTGTAGATGTCCCCCTGCGAAAAGCCACTTACCGGCTCTCCTCTCCTCATGCATGGTAAGAGTGAGGAAAGTACTGCCGTTTACCTGCATTTCCTATTTACCCAGTGATCAGCTGTGATTGGACAGCTGATCACATGGTAAAAGTGGCTGTGATTGGCCCGTTCCTTAGTCATGTGATCAGCTGTGTCCGAAGGACAGAACGATCACAGATCACACGCAGTGCACCCCAGGGGGGCGCGCAGGGGTGTGTTTCTGGGAGGACTTCCATGAACGCCCTTCTCAGAACTAGCCGACCACACTGTAGCCGTCTTTTGGCTATAGCACGGTCGGGAACTGGTTCAAGTGGTTGTGAATTTCAGACAAAAAGATGAACAAAGCATATCCCCCTATAGGGTGTACTTGTCTCAATCTAGAGCACTTAGTTTTATTTCTGTCTGCTGCCTTGTTCCTTTAATATCTGCATGAGTCCCTTATGACAAGTTATCCTGACACAAAGTAAAAAGAAAACGGGAAGGAGCTCCAGCAGACTGACAGCCTCATCTCTGTTCCTATGTGCTGTGTGAGATCTCCTGACTGAGCCCTGCAGTGTGTAAATGTAGCTCTTCGCCCTCTTTTATCTGGAAGCTCAGACAAACTTTGTAAATTCTGGACTTTGAACAGGTATAGATAAGAGGAGACAACAGGCGAAATATAACTGATGTAGGAGGGTTTGTTTCTTTGTCACCTGAGGCCAGTCACTTCACTATGTATATGTGAAGGTGTACAACCACTTCAAAGCCCTGTGTGCTACTTATGGGAACATAAAGGAGGTGAGGAGAAGCTCAGGGTTTAAAGGGTGGGGCATTTATGAGAGACTGTGAAGCAGTACACACTCAGGAGCAAGATTAGTTAACGGTTTTGTGACTGAGGCAGTTAAGCTGAAGATGACCTGGCCTTTGGGACCCCTGGAGCAGTTAGGGACACTAACCCTGCATGTAATAAGATTTATGCGAATAGAGACCTGATTTTTCGCTGCGCACTTAAGTAACACTTGCAGGTCTTGTCCGTTCCCCCCGCCTGTGACTGAACAGTAGAAGCAGAAGCAATGGACTGATAAGCTCATCTTTGCCACTCTGCTCTCTCCACCTATCAACATGCTCTTGGTTAGCACATGATCACAGCAGCAAAGTGGATGGGATCATTATTCTGCTCTTCAATCACATGTTCTGAGTTCTGCTCTACTGGAGCTGCAAGAATGATATCAAGACAAATTAAATGGACATTCTTGGAGGAGGAATTGGTGGATTATGCCGAGAGTGAAGATTGGTGCATCTGCAGAAAAACATGACTATCAGCCCTAATTAAAAGGCAAGGTACAAATATACGGGTAAGCAGTTTGTGCAGATACTGGTGGGGATTATAATAAGACTTGGCACATATAGGCACTTGGAGGACTGTGGTGTAATATATTGTCACATTTGAAGACACAGTTACGTGGTGACGTGGACATTTAGTGATTTATGATATTTAATCACGAACATTTATTTAGATTTTTTTTGAATAGCTACACGAAGATACACATGTAATGATTGAACTTTGATTATTTTTGATAAAAGGTTGTGCTGCATTTTTTATGGGTATACAAAAATTAAATAAAAAAAAGTTTAAAATAAAAAAAAAAGATAATTTATTTGAAAAACTCCTGTAACACCTGTCATCTGCAAACATGCAGAAATGCATGCTTAGGGTGCACACGCACAGGATACCAACGGGTCACACAACACATGCCGTATATGTAAGAGTGAGTGCAATAATTCTGGCAGAAGAGCTCCTGGTTAACTCTAAACTGATGAGCTGTAAAGGCTTGTCACCTATAGAGTTTTACGGTATCATAGTTTTCTGTGATATCACAGGCGCAAGCAATTTTAATACTTGGCAAGTTTGACATCTGTTTATGCAATGCAAAGTTATCTTTTATATTTTCCGAAAAATAGGTATTATATTGTGTGTATGCAATCAAATTAATTTTATTTTTTTTTTTTTTTCCTGAAAATTTGTGTTCAATGAACAGTTGTGCAAATATAATATGACATAACCATTTGCAACTACCATCATTTTATTCTACAGGACCTCTGTTTTTAGAAAATATATAATGTTTTGGGGGTTTAAGTAATTTTCTGCCAAAAAAAAGAAGATTTTTTTACATGTGTGCAAAAAGTGGAAACATTTACTCTAGAGCTGAACCAGTTAAAGACTGCTTACATTTGTCTACAGAATTATTTAAAAAATTAAAAGGATATAAAAAACAAGGATGTCAAAACATATGGGGAAAAAAAAGCCCAAAGCCATCACAGTTTTCCTTTAACAAAGATTCAAAAGCACTGATCAGGTTATAGGACAGGCATTTTTTTAAAATTGGGGTTTGAATATTTTTATTTTTTTCAAATAGAGAGTTAAATATGGTTGTGCATTTGTAGCAGTACTGCAAACAGTGCTGAAAACAGGCATGATAAACATAAATCTCCTAATTAGTAGTCTCTAGTTGTCGAATGCTTTATCTCCAGAAATGTAACAAGACTAAAGAAAAGTAAAGTAAAGCAAAGATTCTTACTATGACATGGCGTGACTGTAAAACTGTACAAATGTAAATCAAACACAAAGTTAGATTTTAAAAAAAAATCTCACGTAAAACTCTGATTAAAGCACCAATAGTAAAAGCTCACTCACAATTGAAAAATATAACAAATGTGCTACGATAAACTGTGTAATACAACAAAGTGCATATAGCTAGTTTCTATCTCCATAGATTGTTTCTATTTTGTTTTGAATCCTGCATTCCGGTAAAAGACCTGTGGTGAGAACGAGCTGTGTCTTTCTTTGGAGTCAGCCATATCCCAGCTTTAAAGGGAACATGTTCTTAATGACCTTTTGATTCAAAGGCCTATTGAAAAAGGTGAAAGCATGTCCACAAGGGATAGTGGAGGTCACACTGGATTTGACATGATTTGCACTTAACAGGAGCTTCAAAAGATGTGCATTGCATAGACACTGTTGAGAGTTTTTAATTTTTTTATTTGTCATTCATACAGAAGATCATGTCAATTCTGTATATACATTTAAATCAGGTGGACATTTTATGTGTGGATTTTTTCATGCTACCCAATAATGATCAATATATCTTCCACTTGCACATGTGGATGTATTTATATTTGCTTACACAGAGGATGAATGTTAATTATTTATACTAATAAATAGAGGCTAACTATATGCACTTTATTACATTGCACAGTTTATGCGGCACATTTTATATAATTTTCAAACATTCAAAGTTAATAAATGGTGGTTTTGGCTACAGCTTTTGTAGGTAAATCATAATAAGTGGGTACTGCCAGAAAATAGCTTTAATGGAAAATTTCATATAACCGCTTTGGTCCATCTAGTTGCCACAATAAACCAATCTGTACGCAGATTAAATGCAAGTGGCTTTGGTGCTATATCGATATCACAGAAAACCTGTGGATAATAAGTCATCTTAGCAGTTACCTTTGAATGTGTGATTGAGATTGTATCCACCCAAACGCGCCATCCACCCCATTCATATTTCACAGCATGATAAAGAAGGATGCGAAAGATGGCATAAACCATTTCTGTGATCTTCTGTTCCTCAATGTTTTTGGGATTAAAATAACACAGCGAAAGCATCCATTCCTGCCACACAGAGCACTGTAGCAAGCTCCTAAAAGTACAAGACAAGGGTTGTAAGCAAAATACGACTTTTATCAATCAAATTTTACACTTGAAGGCTTACAACTAGCTATTGGATCACCCTTCCGTAAAGACATGATCCCAACTCTGTGCCATTCATATTACCCAATAAAATATGGATTTTTTATTTTTTTTTTTAAAGAAGCAAAAGTTTCACCGTTTCTGTATTTTTTTCACACACTGTATGTAATTTTTTTTCCTACATATTCCTAAATAAGAACCTCAATAAATATCCATCACATTACACTGCGGGGAATGTATTTTATGGTTTATTTTAATATATATGCAGATTTGATGCACTAAAAGGTAAATACTTTTTCAATGTGTTATATAGTATGTAAAACACATACCTTCTGTTCTCTCTGCTGTTATTAAAAAGCTTGATCATGTCTGACAAGAACATTCGTCTTACTTCCATGACTTCTTGAGTTGGAGGAGAGTTCCGCAGGAGAGTGGCTATAACTTTTAAGATCACTAGAGAGAGAAAAAAAAAAAACAAAAAAACACAATTTTTTAAAATCTGTTTTTTATTGTGGCGATGTTCGGGAATATGAAGTCTACATATCATATTATTCAAAAAAAATAATGCTTTCTGCATCCCTGTTGGTAGGATTATAACTACGTATATTGCACCGGCACTCTCATCTCAAGGGGTTTTATTGTATTGATAATTCTGATCTAGAACCAATGCCATCAGTTGCTTGTTATCGTATACAGTAGCTGCAAACCTTTTTAAAGTGTTACTAAACCCACAACAGTAAAATCAGTCTGTATATGCAGTAAAGCATGCTTGTTATACTCACTGTGGACCCTAAGGGGTTAATCCTCTGCATTGTGTAAAAAGGCTATTTGAGCCTTTCTTCTCTGCCCCTCCTCTTGTTGAAATGACCACTTGGTACAGACTGAATCCGTAGTCACATTCACATGCTCAGTTTAGTGAGTATTGCTAGAGAGGTTTTTTTTTTTGCTTTGGAGAGTGCATGTGACCAGCACAGGGTCAATCAGCACTGTCCAGACAGAGGGATTCGGGGGTTTCACATCCTCCTAGAGCAGAAAGAAAACACCTCCTACAAGCTTTAACCAGTGCTCTGCTGAAGTCACAAGACTGCTCTAACTGCTGATGAGAAAAGGTATTTAGCAGTTTATATTTACTAAAATAATTGCACTTCCATGTTCTGTGTAAGACCAGATACAGTGAATGCAGGGTCCTGGGTTTAGTAACACTTTAAGCAGTTGACAATTGTTACCCTTTTTTAAGACAATGCACTGACTATTTAATAATGTATTCTCTGCATTCACTGGGTCACACAGAAGTCTTGAGATCTCATTGGTGCGGACATACATTGAGAACGGACCAGCCTTGCCCACCAAGACACCTGCCCCTTGATGACCAGCACAAAGGATCTATTTATGCCAAAAGCTTAATTATTTGCATAAAAACCTCAACTCCATGAGCTGAACATACAGGTGAAACTCGAAAAATTAGAATATCGTGCAAAAGTTCATTTATTTCAGTAATGCAACTTAAAAGGTGAAACTAGTATATGAGATAGACTCATTACATGCAAAGCAAGATAGTTCAAGCCGTGATTTGTCATAATTGTGATGATTATGGCTTACAGCTCATGAAAACCCCAAATCCACAATCTCAGAAAATTAGAATATTGTGAAAAGGTGCAATATTCTAGGCTCAAATGTCCCGCTCTAATCAGCTAATTAAGCCATAACACCTACAAAGGGTTCCTGAGCCTTTAAATGGTCTCTCAGTCTGGTTCAGTAGGAATCACAATCATGGGAAAGACTGCTGACCTGACAGTTGTGCAGAAAACCATCACTGACACCCTCCATAAGGAGGGAAAGCCTCAAAAGGTAATTGCAAAAGAAGTTGGATGTTCCCAAAGTGCTGTATCAAAGCACATTAATAGAAAGTTATGTGGAAGGGAAAAGTGTAAAAGAAAAAAAAGGTGCACAAGCAGCAGGGATGACCGCAGCCTGGAGAGGACTGTCAGGAAAAGGCCATTTAAAAGTGTTGGGGACTTTCACAAGGAGTGGACTGAGGCTGGAGTCAGTGCATCAAGAGGCACCACACAGAGACAGATCCTGGACATGGGCTTCAATTGTCGTATTCCTCTTGTCAAGTCGCTCCTAAACAACAAACGTCAGAAGCGTCTTACCTGGGCTAAAGAAAAACAGACCTGGTCTGTTGCTCAGTGGTCCAAAGTTCTCTTTTCTGATGAGAGCAACTTTTGCATCTCATTTGGAAACCAAGGACCCAGAGTATGGAGGAAGAATGGAGAGGCACACGCTGCAAGATGCTTGAAGTCCAGTGTGAAGTTTCCACAGTCTGTGTTGATTTGGGGAGCCATGTCATCTGCTGGTGTTGGTCCACTGTGCTTCATTAAGTCCAGGGTCAACGCAGCCATCTACCAGGAGATTTTGGAGCACTTCATGCTTCCTTCCGCAGACTAGCTTTATGGAGATGCTGACTTCATTTTCCAGCAGGACTTGGCACCTGCCCACACTGCCAAAAGCACCAAAACCTGGTTCAATGACCATGGGATTAGTGTGCTTGATTGGCCAGCAAACTCGCCTGACCTGAATCCCATAGAGAATCTATGGGGCATTGTCAAGAGAAAGATGAGAGACATGAGACCGAACAATGCAGAAGAGCTGAAGGCCGCTATTGAAGCATCCTGGTCTTCCCATAAAATCTCAGCAGTGCCACAGGCTGATAGCTTCCATGCCCCGCCGCACTGAAGCAGTAATTGCTGCAAAAGGGGCCCAAACCAAGTATTGAGTATATACAGTCAGGTCCATAAATATTGGGACATTGACACAATTCTAAAATGTTTGGCTCTATACACCACCACAATGGATTTGAAATGAAACAAACAAGATGTGCTTTAACAGCAGACTGTCCGCTTTCATTTGAGGGTATTTACATCCAAATCAGGTGAACGGTGTAGGAATTACAACAGTTTGCATATGTGCCTCCCACTTGTTAAGGGACCAAAAGTAATGGGACAATTGGCTTCTCAGCTGTTCCATGGCCAGGTGTGTGTTATTCCCTCATTATCCCAATTACAATGAGCAGATAAAAGGTACAGAGTTCATTTCAAGTGTGCTATTTGCATTTGGAATCTGTTGCTGTCAACTCTCAAGATGAGATCCAAAGAGCTGTCACTATTAGTGAAGCAAGCCATCATTAGGCTGAAAAAACAAACCCATCAGAGAGATAGCAAAAACATTAGGCGTGGCCAAAACAACTGATTGGAACATTCTTAAAAAGAAGGAACGCACCGATGAGCTCAGCAACACCAAAAGACCCAGAAGACCATGGAAAACAACTGTGGTTGATGACCAAAGAATTCTTTCCCTGGTGAAGAAAACACCCTTCACAACAGTTGGCCAGATCAAGAACACTCTCCAGGAGGTAGGTGTATGTGTGTCAAAGTCAACAATCAAGAGAAGACTTCACCAGAGTGAATACAGAGGGTTCACCACAAGATGTAAACCATTGGTGAGCCTCAAAAACAGGAAGGCCAGATTAGAGTTTGCCAAACGACATCTAAAAAAGCCTTCGCAGTTCTGGAACAATATCCTATGGACAGAGGAGACCAAGATCAACTTGTACCAGAGTGATGGGAAGAGAAGAGTATGGAAAAGGAAAGTAAATGCTCATGATCCTAAGCATACCACCTCATCAGTGAAGCATGGTGGTGGTAGTGTCATGGGCGTGGGCATGTATGGCTGTCAATTGAACTGGTTCTCTTGTATTTATTGATGATGTGACTGCTGACAAAAGCAGCAGGATGAATTTTGAAGTGTTTGGGGCAATATTATCTGCTCATATTCAGCCAAATGCTTCAGAACTTATTGGACGCCACTTCATAGTGCAGATGGACAATGACCCAAAGCATTCAGAAAAAGCAACCAAAGAGTTTTTTTAAGGGAAAGAAGTGGAATGTTATGCAATGGCCAAGTCAATCACCTGACCTGAATCCGATTGAGCATGCATTTCACTTGCTGAAGACAAAACTGAAGGGAAAATGCCCCAAGAACAAGCAGGAACTAAACTGAAGACAGTTGCAGTAGAGGCCTGGCAGAGCATCACCAGGGATGAAGCCCAACGTCTGGTGATGTCTATACGTTCCAGACTTCAGGCTGTAATTGACTGCAAAGGATTTGCAAGCAAGTATTAAAAAGTGAAAGTTTGATTTATGATTATTATTCTGTCCCATTACTTTTGGTCCCTTAACAAGTGGGAGGCACATATGCAAACTGTTGTAATTCCTACACCATTCACCTGATTTGGATGTAAATACCCTCAAATTAAAGCTGTCAGTCTGCAGTTAAAGCACATCTTAGTTTCATTTCAAATCCATTGTGGTGGTATATAGAGCCAAAAATGTTAGAATTGTGTCGATGTCCCAATATTTATGGACCTGACTGTATGCATGCTTATACTTTTCAGAGGTCCGATATTTTTCTATGTACAATCCTTGTTTTATTGATTGCATGTAATATTCTAATTTTTAACAATTATGACAAATCACGGCTTGAACTATCTTGCTTTGCATGTAATGAGTATCTCATATATTAGTTTCACCTTTTAAGTTGCATTATTGAAATAAATGAACTTTTGCACGATATTCTAATTTTTCGAGTTTCACCTGTACATACACAGTCGGCTGTGCAGACTCCAACTTCTCTTGAGTCACTAATGCAGGCCGGCCATACATGGATCGAATTCCAAACAAAATTTCTTTAGAAAATCGGAAATTTCGTACAATTTTGTAATCCGATGGTGCCACCACCGATTTCGAAATTCAGCCAACCAAGCCTTCAATTTCACCTCATGTTGCTAGAGAAATAAATTTTAGTGGCCATGAATAGTCTTTTCTTTCCAGGTCACAGCTCATATGCTCATTTCTTCCAACATGCTC